GGTGCTCTTTGGAATTGATGTTTCTGTGTCCTTTGGGTAAATACCTAGGAGTGGAATTGCTGGATCATATGGAAGCTCTATGTTTAGTAGGTCCAGAAATCTCCACACAGCTCTCCACAGTGGTTGGACCAGTTTGCACTCCCACCAACAGTGCAGAAGAGTTCCTTTTTCTCCACACCCTCGCCAGCATTTGTTGTTGCTAGTTTTTTTAATATGTGCCATTCTCAGTGGTGTAAGATGGTATCTCATGGTAGTTTTGATTTGCATTTCCCTGATTACAAGTGATGTTGAACATTTTTTCATATGTCTGTTGGCCATTTGCATTTCCTCTTCAGAGAAGTTTCTTTTTAGCTCTTCTGCCCATTTTTTGACTGGATTATTTTCTTTGTTTGTACTGAGTCTCATCAGCTCTTTGTAGATTTTTGTGATCAGTCCTTTATCATTAGTGTTGTGAAAACACCATAGGTTTTTAATAGACATTTATGGCTAAGAAAGGTAGTTTGCAAAAGAAATTCAATTAACCTAGTTTTCCTGTTTGCTTGATTTTAATAAATTATACCTGAAGAATTATCATTAGGGTCACCTTCACTAGCTTAAAAAACTTCTGTGAAATCTTGAGGTATGCAACTAAAATCATTATCTTTCAACAGAAATAAAATTAGAAAATCCCATTATCACCAGAAAACTAGAAATAAGTGAAAACAGGCATCAAATAAAAAACAAATGCAAATACCCTGGAGATTCAGTGTAATTATTTTGCTTTATCTCTCATAAAATCTGCTCTTCACACCCTTTATGGCCTCTTTGGGGTGTTGGTTTTCATGAATAAAAATATTTCTCTAAAAAACAAAACAAAGTTTCTTTGCTCTAATTAGGCAAAATGAAAGCCTTCTGTTATGATTTATATTATTAAAACTTTGACATTTTCTAATGGCATAAGACAAGTTCTATTTTTAATGAACTTCTATATTAGAAAAGTGCTTTGAGGAGATTTCCAAGTTCTAGTGAATCTTGAGTTTTTGTAATTATTATTTGATACCAAAAATTATGATATAAAATAATTTTGGTAGTCCTTGGTTCCATTTTAAATAATCATTGACATCTGGAATGATAGATACCCAAAATAATATGGGTAGTGATTAAAATTTAAAACTAATAATTATTGAAAACCACATACATAAAAGAAACTGTCAAAGCTGGGCAGTTAGTGTAAGATAGTCAAACAGTGTTTGCCTATTTAAAACTGGAGGGATTCATAACCTGGAGTATTGTGAACAATGCTGAGAATAGCCTTACACTTAGCAACAACAAACAATAAAGGTCATAGGATGAGGGCTTCTTTACATCCTCAGTTGTTGCTCATTAAAGAACTGGTGATAACTTTTAGATAATATAGCTAAGGCCACTGTCGCAGCTTTAAGTTCAGATTTTTTTCACTCACAGTTTACATACTTAAAAAAATTTCTCTCTCTCTCTCTCTCTCTCTCTCTCTCTCATCTATCTAATATATCATCTATCCATCTTATAGTGTCTTTACTAGCATATTTATTTCTTGGATTGGAGTCTTTTTTTTTTTTTTTTTTAGATTTACCTTTATTTATTTATACAAGCACTGGGTACAGTTAGAAGCGTGGGAGGACAAGAGAATTCACCAGAGCCAGAGCAGGGAGCAGAGCAGGCAGAAGGACTGAAACACTGCTGAGGGGAGCAGTGGGCAGCAGGAGAGGTCTGAGCGCCATGTGGGACCCTCTTCCGGTGGCCGGGGAGCAGCCAGGGATTGAACCGGCGCTGCAGAGGCTGCGGGCAGCTTCGCAACCCAGCGCTCAACCGCTGCGCCACCGGAGCACTTACAAATGCTCAAAATTCACCTCAAAGAAAGTCTTTTTTGGGAATTTTGCCTTCTCCAAAATAATTCGTATTTAATTTTCTACAGGGGATAATTTTGCCTTCTCCAAAATAATTACTATTTAATTTTCTACAGGGGATAATAATATTTAATGCTGCAACTCTGCCTTGTCCTGTTTAAAGCATCTGTGCCTGTGTTCATTCTGCAAATAGTTATTGACTGCCCATGATGAACAGGGTAGAGTGTACTAGATACGATGGAGGCAACAGTGAATTAGATACAGTCTTAGTCACAAGGGAACTTAAATGCTAGTGGGGAATACAAGCAACAAAAGCATTAATTGCCATATAGTATAGTAAAATACCGGGCTGGGATAAATTGAGAATGCTATGGGAACATATCAGAAGGGAATCTAGTCTAGACTTCCCTGTTAAAAAGAGCCCCCCAGGAGAAGAAACAGTGAAATTGAGTGCTGAAGGGTGACTAGGACTGAACTATATCAGGTGGAGAGGAAGTGTGAAAAAAATTCTTCCAGGAGGGTGAAATAGCATGCAAACTCTTAAACTAAGTGGGTTTTCTCTTAATCTTCTTTTGTACACTGCAGTGATGGCAATGCTGTTTTAAACTACTCCCAGCACGGGAGAGTCATTACTTGTTTTGTGTAAAGCCAAAACTGATATTTTCCTACATAGACTTAGGAAACTCTCACACTGTTTACTGTCCTTTTAGTAACAGCAACTTGCTGGGCTGATCACTTGTACACAGTACAGTGAAGGCAAAACTACATGTATGAGTTTGCTTATACCTATCAAATAGGTCTACTCATTAATAAGCTGCACAAAAATAAAAGAACATTTAGAAGGAATATGGCTATTGACAGTTATAATGCATTCGGCTGCAAGTAATAACAAAAATACCAACCTAAATTGGTTACACTATTATGAAATTTATTTCATATAATTAGTTAAGTCATAAGTAAGACAGAGTTCTGGTCATATAATTGCCTGTGTGAAGTGACTGAGCTTCCAGGTTCTTTATGCCACTATGCCTTACCCCATTCCTATTTCTCCTTTGTGGTTAACATTAGGGCCCACAGAGCTATGGGATTTGTTGTCACATTCAATAGGAAAAGGTAATATCATCTACCTCAAATATGGAATCAAGTCAGTCCCTTCAGTCATATTGGGCAAATCCTATCCTGGATCAAAAAAAGCTGTTGTGGGCCTCCCCGGTGGCGCAGCGGTTGAGCACTGGGTTGCGAAGCTGCCCGCAGCCTCTGCAGCGCTGGTTCGATCCCCGGCTGCTCCCCGGCCTCCAGAGGAGGGTCCCACATGGCGTGCAGACCTCTCCTGCTGCCCGCTGCTCCCCTCAGCAGTGTACTTCGGTCCTTCTGCCTGCTCTGCTCCCTGCTCTGGCTCTGGTGAATTCTCTCACCTTCCCATGCTTCTGACTGTACCCAGTGCTTGTATGTATCAATCAATCAATCAATCAATAAATCTTTAAAAAAAAAAAAGCTGTTGTGAGAGTTACACAATATTCTGTAACAGCAAAGTGATAGATTTCAAGAGGGTAAGTCAGGGTATCCTCCCCTGAGTCATAGAGGCAGTATGGAAACTGAGGAAGATTATCTTCTATTAGAAGGAGGAAGGATGCATGGATATGGGATGGACACATAGCAGTTAATCCAAACAACATGTTCTCTGTTACTTCATATTTGTTTAATTCAAATTCAGTCTTCTGACAGAGAAAAAATAATACATATCACTAAGGGAAAAAAAGCATAATTCTAATGAACTCAACTCTTTGAACTATGTGTGGATTGTTAACTGGAGAGAGATAAAAGTTTATGTTGAATTGTAGAGGCCACTGTTTTATCTTTCCTTCACTTCCTGAATTGTATCTCTGAATTTCTACATTGGTTTCTGTGGCCCACATTTACCATAGAGTGGAAAGAAATTTCAGGCATTTATTTTGCTGTAGAAGTATTTTTAGATGTTTTGTGGGTTGTATATTAATTACTATATAACATAGAGCTAGGAAGGAATGTGCAAAATATATTTAGCAACCTCTGATAATATTTTAAGAGCATTTGACTCTGACACATGCTATATAATTTATAGATGCAGGTTACATCATTATAAGGTTACATATTGGGAAATCTATAAAAAAAGAATTCTTAAAAATATCTTCTTGAAACACAGACTGAGAAATGTTCTTTCAAAGGGAAAATATGTGATGACTGCTTAGGCTTTTCTTCTTTTCCATTTTTTCTTGCACTTCCTATGCAAGTGTAGATTTTTTTTTTAAGATTTATTTATTTATGCATACAAGAACCCGGGTACAGGTCAGAAGTGTGTGTGGGGGGGGGGTGAAAGCTTTCATCAGAGACAGAGTGGGGAACAGAACAGGCAGATCAACCGAAATACACTGCTGAGGGGAGCAGCGGGCGGCAGGAGAGGTCTGAGCGCCATGTGGGACCCTCGTCCGGCGGCCAGGCATGGAACCGGCGCTGCAGAGGCTGCGGGCAGCTCCGCAGTCCAGGGCTCAACCGCTGCGCCACCAGGGCGTCCCTGCAAGTGTAGTTTTATGGTTTCTTCTCATAAAAAGAAGATGAGTAAACCTGAAGAAGTTTATATCAATTGAATGAATGACCCTTATTTTTTATTTGGAGCTATTCTTTCCCTCTGGCTACACAGGATGGAGTGAACACTTGGCCAGAGGCTGGAGAGAGATAAACAGTCTCCCATGGAGGTGGCAGAGTACACTACATAGGCAAATACAAAAGCTTTCTTTTTGCAAGTTGATTGGGGACCCTTTTGATAGACATCAGGAAGAATAAAATTAATAGTTTAAATATAAGAAATATAATGATTTCTACCTAATATTTGCACAGTTACATAATTTTCAGAGTATTTTGTGTACATTATTTTACACGATGTACATTATTTTCCCTATCCTGTGATAGGAAAAGAATGGTACTGTTACAGTCAATTTGCAGATTAAGAAATGAACAATGTAAAGGTTAACTGAATTGTCTATAATCTCAAGTGGAAGAACAAAGGTTCAAGAATTGAAACTTTTGTTTCTTTTTCTGTGTGTAAGGGGAGGGTATGTTTACTAATAAAATATTTTATCCTCCCTATTTTTTCCAAAGAAGGGAGAAGAAAATAAAATACCAAGAAAACAAACAACAAAAAAGAGTTGAACAAAAAACCCCTGCTATGTTAAACACGCATAATGCTCAAATTCTAAAGAATACACATTTACTGGATTATGAACTCTTGCAAGGTAACAATTGTGAATTTGTAGAAATTGAATAACTTAAAATAGTTTTAAAAATACCCTTTGAAATTCAGTATTTTCATTTTTGCTCTTCATTTTCCTATCAGGCAGGAGTCTCAAATAGCCAGTTCAGTCTCCTTCACGTGCATTTTTTTATTCTTATGCTTTTTATCCACTTACTCCTCCTTCCTCAAAACAAAACTTGCTCTTTTCATGAGTGTGTTGGGGCCTCAAATTACTTATGAAAAACTCATTTAAGGATGGAGCCCACTAGTGGGCTGTCACCTAATTTAGAAAGCATCTGTTAGAAAAATACATGAATGAAAATGGCCATTGCTGGAAGTCTTTGGGACTTATACAGGTCCCATAGCAGTTACCCATTTAGATACAAACCTAGAATTTGATGATTGACACTTAGTTGACCCTTAATAAACAGCTTTGGGTAGTTGTTGGGTTTGCCCTTAGAGTGAATTTGTTGTGTGATTTCCTGCTTTTGCAACACAAAATAGATCTTTGAGTAAGGTATGCTTTTTTTGACAGCTGCTGTTAACATCTGAGAGACAATTTAATTTGTCTGCAACTAGAGCAGCAGAAAATTAAAAAAAAAGCAAACAGACTACATCACTACTTCTGCTCATTTGATGAATATCAATAAATATGGATGAAACACCTGAAGGAGCACACAAATGCCTAGTTAGCAAATTTGCCAAGTATGCAGACAATGGGTGTACTGCATGATTATGTTTGTTGAAAATATAAAAGAGAGACACATAAATAAGGCTAGTGAGAATGAAGATTCAGTGACAGCACCGCATAATACTCATAAAGTATCTTTCATCTTGGATGCTGAAAGCATTTTAAAAGTGTCCTCATGACACCCTTCTGGTGCTAGTAGTTGGTAACAAAATATCACCTCCATTTACATTAAAAAGGATGCTGAAATGGAAGTTGAAAAGTTAAGCGGACTGTTTAGTATCTTGGTCTCAAAGATGAAGGCTGTGTCTACCTGTGGCAAGTGTATTTTGTCATTTGCCCCCAAGCAATCTTTGTCTAACTCTGTATAAATTCTCTACCTGGCAAAAAGGAGACTGAAGCTGGAGCAAAAATATACTTCTGTGGGTGTAATTGTATTCGTGGCCAAATAGGATTTGGACTTCTTCCATTAACAGGAATGCCTGGTGGTAGTACTAACTTTAAAACCCTAAGTTGTCAACAAACATAAGGAATTTAGTTGAACAAGATTAAAGGGGAAGAAATGGAGAGATGATGGGATAAATACACAGACATGTCCAGAGATTTCACCTGAGACTTTCTGGGGGAAAAGAATTTGTGGGATGGAGCCTTTCCTTGCCACTGGCTCATTTCCTTATCTATCCTCCCCCAACTACAACTCTTGTCCCCCTCTGTTCTCCACAAGTACAGGAAGACAGAACTGGAAACTGCCAGTCAGTAGAACTTGTAATTTGAAGGAATAGCTGCTCTTCCTTCTGAGCACAGCATGCCTTTCCCTGATGCATCTTGCTTGGTTATACTTTCTTTTTCCTTTGGTTTTCTTTTTTATTTATTTTTATTGAGGTAGTATTGGTATATGATTTCTTTACGTTTCAGAGGTATAGGATCACGCCTCTTCAGATGTATGTCACCACACCACACCCACCACGAGGCACCTGTACTCTTCAATCATAACCAAGCATTGCTTTCTCAAAAAGCTTAAACACAGAGATATGAACATTAACATTGATTGACTCTCACAATAATTGAACATCTTTGTGTTGGCCCTTAAAATGTTCACATTACATGAAATTATGATAGAACCAACATGAGAAATATTTTAAGATGTTATTTTAGCATATGTTTATTATTTTTTTGAGATTGTGTGCTCCGTATTACCTCACCACTTTTTTTTTGATATTTGTTTCAGAAGTTGTGTTTTCTTATTTTAAAAGATGAAAATTTATCTTTTGTATCTATTTCCACACTGAACTTTACTCTCCAATCCTCCCATTTATAGTATTGTCACTATTTTTATCAAGTAATATTATGTGATTATATAATGATATAAATATTATCATTGATTTAATAGATAGGACACTAATACAATCCATTTCTTGAGACATTTTTGATTGAACAAAATTGCTTCATTTCATTTTTTCTTCATTTGACAACAGAATTCAAAATTTGCACCATACTCTCATTTATCTTCTAAATCCAGTCTACATCTGTTCCCCAGGAAGATTCCTTTTCTATAATCTGGTAATTCCTTTAAAATGAACTTTAACAAAGTGTGAACTTTATAGAAAAATAATGCAAAGACATAAATGTACATCTTGATGAATGATCACATATTGAAAAATCTTTCAGTACCAGATCAACCAACAGTACTTTCTGAACCCTTGGAAGTCTCCTCTTGTGCTTTGTATCAGTAACTTTCTCCCAGTATAAAAATCTGTCCTTGCTTTTAACACAATAGATTGGTTGTATATTTCTTATACTTTTCATACTTGAAAAAAGTTGGAGTCCATACATTTCATTATCTGATTCCATTCTTTAATTTTTTTTTTGGTGTGGGATTATCTCTATCCTGTGGAATTATGACATGTACTCAGTACTGTAGAGTAGTGCACTAATTCCATGTATCATGTGGTACTGATCTGTTCCACTGCTGGACTTTGGGTAGCTTCCAAGTTTTGTTTCATTTTATGTATGTGGTCCTGATTAGATATTTTGTGTTAATGTTCTATTCTCTTTTATATTTTGTCATTGCTATTGAGAATTTATTGTCATCTGTATGTTCGGAAAATTCCAGTGATGCGGTTAGATGTGTATGTGTGTGCTTTATTTGTTGTATGCAGTACATAGGAAGTTATTTCAATCTCACCATTGATACCTTCAGTACTTAAAAATAATATGGTTCAATTTATTTCATAGTTTACAGTCATTCAATTTCTTCTTTCTCTTTCTATTTGTGAATTTGTTTGGATACTGAACTACTTGGAAGATTTCTCTAAATTGCTTATTCCTTTGCTGATATTTCATTGCTCTTTTATTTTCTTCAACTTCTTAGATTGCTTGGTTATACTTTCATCTCATTTTTTACTTCTCTCACATCTTGCTCACAGTAGCATCAACTGCATTGGTTCTTGCTCTCCCTCAAATCAGCCAGGCTGTTCCTCTTTGTACTTCCTCAGTCCTCTGCCAGGAATGTTCTTTTTACTCAAATTGTATCTTCATAGCTTATGCCTTCGCTGCCCTTCAGTCTAGGTTTAGAGAGACCAGGTATCCAAGTATTCTGTTTTGCCCAAAACTGAGAAGTCATAGAACATGAAATTTCTAGTTTTAAAACTTGATCAGTTCTGGGCAAACTTGGCCACTGTATTTAAATTGCTTCTTTTTATGTGACTTTCACATTTACTGTTTTTCTCATTATTTTAGCACCATCTAGTATCATCTAATATACTATGCATTTTACCAACTTATTATGTGTAACTTTACTTCCTTCCCAACACCTATCTCAATGAGGGTGAAGATTGCTTTAAAAATTACTTGTTTTATTTACTGCTTTAGCCTCAGTGCCCATTGTGGCCAGCACTTTTACTCAATAGCTGTCTTTGAATGAATAAGTGAGTGAATGAATGAGAATTTTAGAAAGTGTTAATCAGCTATGAAGAAACTATGATGGGAATCTATTTCCTAGAAAGAGTTATCATGTTCATAAAGTCTTGGTCAAATTTAATTTGACCCTTAAAATAAATGTGTTATTTCCTAATGAGTGATAACTTTCTTAAAATTTAAATAATGTTTTATTTATTATTTAACATCAAAGTGCTATTTAATTCATTTTACAAAAGTTTTTATAAAACAGATTTATTATAATGTGCTATTACATTTTAGATATCATGTTGGTGATCATTTGTGTAGATTTAGGTCAACTGATTTTAATCTATTGGAATGTACTTGTAAATGGAAATTCAGTTTGTTTTAACTCATGTAAGTCTCTTATTTGCTTCCATGAAAACTCAGGCATATGTATAACAACTATAATACTTCTTTTAATATTTAGTTGTTATTAGGTAGACAAATAGATAGATGACTTAAAAATGCAAATATTCAGAATTCCAAATGAATTATAATGTCTGTGCTGGACAAGAAGTCAGAAGTCTTGAGCTGCATATACTTAGGGTGGCATTCTTGGATATCTAAATTTTACTGATCTTAGACCTAACCTGAAATGCTTAGATCTAACCACTTGTCACATTGCTCTATCATTTGCAAGAACATGGGTTGTCTATCACATGTCCATGTTTGTGAGGTGCTAGTATCAGAACACTGAATGTGGGGGCAGAAGCCCTGGGTCCTCAACCCTTCTCCCATTAATTTTTCATGTGGCCTCAATGATCTCTTAATCTTTCAGAACTTGCATCTCATAATCTGTGAAATGAGAATGATAAAGCCATTACCAGGTTGCTCAAAATAGGGCAAAGGTCTTTGGAATGATTTGGTGCTACAAAACTGTCAGGTGAAGTAAGATGAGGAGCACTGAGGTGTTTCCCTGATGCCTGTGTTTCAGGCGATTTAGCTGCCAGTTGGCTATGAGCTTGTTCTTGCTTCTTACTATTCTTCATTTCACCAACGAAGGAAGAATTTTCTCTCTCTTTCACCAATGTTGTCCAGAGAGAAACAAGAGTGCAATCTGTGCTTTCCCCTTCAAAACCAGAGAGTCATTTTTAGTTCCCAAAGTTTGTAATAAGGGAGCTATTCTTTGAGTGACTTCTCACCAATTTTAATCATCACCTTTATAGAAACAGGTCACCCGCTGGGAGAAGACTTCATTTTCTCCTTAAAACAGACATTAATTGCCCATTTTAAAACTATATTTCTTTTTTGGTAACTTGGTGAATAGTTTCAAAAATGCCAAATAATATAGTAGTTTAAACAGACTCTCCAACTAGCCTTCATGTGATTAGATACCATCTGCAATTTACCAGGTATTAGGCTTTGAACAAGAG